AACTACGAACTAAACTGCAACTTTGATCAATAGGCAAAACGTGAAAATTAGTTTCTCTCTCTTGGCCTTTTACACACATAAACATTATACGTGTTGTTTTCATTAACGTACATAATTGATGGGATATATGCACTTTTATAAAGGCAGAGAGAAGACCAGTTTTCCTTTTTAGTAACCTTAATTTCACTTTCCATCAAAGTAAGGAATAAATAGGAAAACACTTCTCCAATAATTAATTACCATAAAGGTAATTTATAAGTTAACCAAATAATATAATATTAATCTGATATCTATTTACTTAACCACTAATTAATGAAATATATCACATGTCCAAAATATGTAGGCCACACAATTAATAAATAATCTTACAACCTTGAACCAGTTCAGAGAGGCTGAACCGGTTTAAGAAGGCCAATGATGAATCCCACGGATTCTTGTGTCACGCCCCGACAGTTCCATTTAATCATATACAAATACATCAAAATACACACAGGATCATAAAAATTACCCTCTTTTATACAAAGTTAATTTCCTCAAATATACAAAAAAATCTCCAAATAAAAAAAATAAATTCTTGCAACGCCAACTCTTCAACCTAAGCCCGAATCTAGTAATTCTCGTTCGTTCTTGGTCCCTGAAACTGGAGGGTGGTGAAACAAAAGTCCCAGTAGGAAAAACCATAACAAGAATCTCATGGAGGTTTAATAAAACAGCTTCACAACATAAACATATACATTTAATACATATGCATTTAATAAAAATATTTCATAAAATATTTAATTAAAACCTCCCCATGCCATTCAAGGTATAGAGAACCCTACACTGAAAAATCATCAAGCCTCAAAGCTCCGGCCTGCTGTGAAATCTTGGCTCCTCTGCAGACCCTCGAACCTCTCTGTTTCTCAAAACTCTCTAATTTATTTATTTCTTTGCTCTCCTACAAAGTCCCAAACACTTAATATATAGACAAGGCAACCCACTATCCTTACACAATATCAGCCAACAAGCCCACGTGAATCCCACTGCTACACTCCATCAGAACCCACGTGAAGCCCATATTTTTGGCCAAACAAAAATCAATTCACACATCACAAGTTCTCTCTCTTACTTTTGGCTGACACCTTTTTCCTTCCCCTATCATTTCAATCTTCACTTTCCAAACATACCACCTAACAACTACATCAGCCCAACAAAAACCAAGACGACATGAACAATTCAAAGCCAAGCAAAATTCGCCAAACAAATCCTAGTGAACCCACATCAAATCATCACCATTTCCTTCATTTCTTTCTTCTTTAATTTCGCCACCCAACCCATCATCTCTATCTCGGCTGCACCCTTTTTCCATCCATAGATGCAATATATATATATATATATATATATATATATATATATATATATGCAACAAACTAACCAATTCTTTAAATATCAAGTGGGCTCGCCAATACACTGCCCTTTCTCATTTCGCAGACCACAATTCCTCCAGATGCACAAAATACATATACATATATATATATATAATCTATATATATAAACATGTGACAAAAATCTAAGCCATTAAAACACTTTCACAACATTCAAGTGGGACCCGCGCCAAAGCCATTTCCTTTATCCCATTTCGTTGCTCCACTTCTTATCCCATACTAAATATATATATATATATATATATATAAAATATCAAACAAACTAAACAAAACTTATTAAAGAAAATCATGGGACTCCATCAGTTTACACACACACACACACATATATATATATAAACTATATAAAAAAAACTACAATTACACCTTCATTGAAATAGTGTAACAAACTCAAAATAATAATAATAATAATAATAGAAATAAAATTATAAATTAAACTATAAGAAAATTCGGGTCATCACAATCTCCACAACTTAAAAAGAATTTCGCCCTCGAAATTCAGATCCAACAGCCCGTAAACCCGAAAACACCAATGATCACAAAACCAAATCCATAAATCCTTACCCCAGGCGATGTGAAAAACAGTGATATGTAGGACGTTGTGGTAGCTGACAATGCTAGTCACCCATCCACACACTCCGTAACCATTGTTGTAGCTAGTCAATGCGTCACTCGCCCACTAAAAAAAACAAACACTAACAAATCTGGGCTACCTGCCTAACCACACTAACCAACCATCTCAGTAGCTGCCGGTGAACGCCATCCGCCCACACACACCCGGCTACGAGTGGTAGCTCACCAGTGCTACACACTCGCCCACTCACACCCGTCTACATCATCATTACACTCACACTTCCGGCTGGGTACAAGCTCTGATACCATTTTGTCACGCCCCGACAGTTCCAATAAAATCCTCGATTTAATCATATACAAATACATCAAAATACACACAGATCGTAAAAATTACCCTCTTTTATACAAAGTTAATTTCCTCAAATACACAAAAAAATCTCCAAATAAAAAAAATAAATTATTGCAACGCTAACTCTTCAACCTAAGCCCGAATCTAGCAATCCTCGTTCGTCCTTGGTACCTGAAACTGGAGGGTGGTGAGACAAAAAGTCCCAGTAGGAAAAACCATAACAAGAATCTCATGGAAGTTTAATAAAACAGCTTCACAACATAAACATATACATTTAATACATATGCATTTAATAAAAACATTTCATAAAATATTTAATCAAAACCTCCCCATGCTATTCAAGGTACAGAGAATCCTACACTGAAAAATCATCAAGCCTCAAAGCTCTGGCCTGCTGTGAAATCTTGGCTCCTCTGCAGACCCTCAAACCTCTCTGTTTCTCAAAATTCTCTAATTTATTTATTTCTTTGCTCTCCTACAAAGTCCCAAACACTTAATATAAAGACAAGGCAACCCACTGTCCTTACACAATATCAGCCAACAAGCCCACGTGAATCCCACTGCTACACTCCATCAGAACCCACGTGAAGCCCATATTTTTGGCCAAACAAAAATCAATTCACACATCACAAGTTCTCTCTCTTACTTTTGGCTGACACCTTTTTCCTTCCCCCATCATTTCAATCTTCACTTTCCAAACATACCACCTAACAGCTACATCAGCCCAACAAAAAACAAGACGACATGAACAATTCAAAGCCAAGCAAAATTCGCCAAACAAATCCTAGTGAACCCACATCAAATCATCACCATTTCCTTCATTTCTTTCTTCTTTAATTTCGCCACCCAACCCATCATCTCTATCTTGGCTGCACCCTTTTTCCATCCACAGATGCAATAAAAAAAAAAAAAAAAGAAATATATATATATATATATATATATATATGCAACAAACTAACTAATTCTTTAAATATCAAGTGGGCCCGCCAATACACTGCCCTTTCTCATTTCGCAGACCACAATTCCTCCAGATGCACAAAATACATACATATATATACATATATATATATAAACATGTGACAAAAATCTAAGCCATTAAAACACTTTCACAACATTCAAGTAGGACCCGCGCCAAAGCCATTTCCTTTATCCCATTTCGTTGCTCCACTTCTTATCCCATACTATATATATATATATATATCAAACAAACTAAACAAAACTTATTAAAGAAAATCATGGGACTCCATCAATTTACACACACACGCACATATATATATATAAACTATATAAAAAAAAACTACAATTACACCTTCATTGAAACAGTGTAACGAACTTAAAATTATAATAATAATAACAATAGAAATAAAATTATAAATTAAAATATAAGGAAATTCGGGTCATCACATCTTGAACCAATTCAGCCTCCTTGAACCGGTTCAAGATGGCCAGTCTTGAAATTCTTTACAATTCTGCTGATGTTGAACCTGTTCGATAAATCTTGAACTAATTCAAGATGGACAAAATGTAAAAACTTATTCCGAACCTTTCAAAACCCTTCCTAAATGTTCTCACTGCCTCTCAAACCTTCTTAGAGCATTGTTATCATCATCTCGGAGTGTAGTATATCATGAACACTTGAACTTCTTCAAATCCACATCCGATCTTCAATCTTTGAAATTTTGAACCGAAAAATTACAACTCGATCGGACTTGTTTTGTCAATGAAATTAGCCAATTATAAAATATATATCTCACACAAGCAGGACCACTGGAATTCTACAGCACCAATGACATTTCAAATATGAATAAAGAAAGAATTGAATAATAACAAAACTCAGTAATACTATATAAAGACAGAGACATCTTGCAGGGACCAGTTTTGGTTCAATTAATAGATTTCACATTATTGTGGTCCTCATTTGATAGATTTCACATTATCATGGTCTTCAATAAATGATTAAAATACATCAAAATCCAAAACAAAATGGCAGTAATCCTACCTAAACGAACTGCTAAATTTGGACACATTAAAGCATGAAGTAGTTTTATGTGTACAGAAATAATTTTGTATTAGAAACTAGGTGTCCTTGATGTTGCATTTAAAGGATGGATTCATAAAAAAGGTAGCCTTAGATAATCTTTCACGATTCCAAACCTATACTATACTTCATCTGTGATGTTGTGCTGATAAGGATATATTAAAGGAAAATGCAATACATAATCTTTAGCAAATCCAATTTCTATATTATACATTTAAGGTCGTCGTCTATGTAAATAGTCCAAGTCAGTGTTACTATGGACAACAAGATGAAGCTAAGACCAAGAAAAACACTTTATGGGTTGAGAAATATTTTAATGATTACTTAGAATTCAATAGAGAACACCAATTGGGACCATTGTTGTTGTGAGGACATCCTGATTAGTGATTCTCAGTGAATTGAATTTTATGGAATCTAATTTTCTTTGATCCTTGTGAAGATGTTTTTGTCCTGAAAATCAATCTTCTTCAATAAAATAGTAGATTCGTACATCAATCTTTATCCTGGAAAATGAAAAACCACCCACCACCCACCCCACCATGATTCAGACATCTGGAGCTTATGTTTGGCTAATTGTCGTATACAAGCTTGCAAGATGCGATTCAGAAACTATATATATATATATATACACACCTATGTTTCTCCCCTCCTCATAACCATTTAAATCCATTTTCACTTAAGAAGATAGAAATCAAGACTCAGTGGGATGGCAAAACTTCTTTCAAGCTGGTGTAAAGATGCTCAATCCTTGCCTAAAAATTATGTATTCCCACCGGATAAAAGACCAGGGGAGCTCAATTCTCCTGTATACAGTGGTCCGGTAGTTGATCTCAGCAAAGCAGTGGGACAGGGGCAAGCTGAAACAATACAGCAAATTATACAAGCATGTCAGGAGTTCGGATTCTTTCAGGTTCAATTTTCCAATTTCATTCACGACTTAGTGATCAAACATTTCACATTCAATTGGATGGTTCTAACTAAATAATTTTGATATAAGATGCTAATGAAAATGTTGCACTTAAATGCTATGGAACAGGTGATCAAGCATGGTGTTTCAGGTAGTTTAATGCATGACACGAAGAATGTGATGAAGGAGTTCTTTGACATGCCAGATGAGGTCAAGTCGAGCGTCTTCACTGCAGATGCCAGCAAGAGGTGCAGGCTCTTCACAAGCAGTTTAAATTATACCAATGAGGAGGCTTATTATTGGAGGGATAATTTGACACACCCTTGTCATCCTTGGGAGGATTGTATGCAACTTTGGCCCAAAAAACCTACTAGATACCGGTAAAACACTGAACTTTCATTAATCATCGTACTCTTTGTGCAACAATTATAATGTAGAATGTTAAAGCTATGCTTAATAGCTTCTCAAAAACTTTCTAAGAAAACTAAATTATGGTTTTCATTTTCTCTCCTGTAATTTCTAGAGAAGTTGTAGGGACTTATACAGTTGAAGTGAGGAAGATGATATTGAAAGTTTTGGATCTGATTTGTGGAGGACTGGGACTAGAGCAGGGGTACTTTGGAGGTGACCTGAGCAAGATTGAGTTACTATCAACTAATCTTTACCCTAGGTGCCCTGACCCGAGCCTGGCCTTGGGATGTCATAGACACTGCGACCCTAACCTCATAACGTTTTTAGATCAAGGGGAGGTCTATGGACTTCAAGTCTGTAAAGATGGGCAATGGATAGGTGTTGAGCCTATTTCTAATGCATTTGTGGTCTTAATTGGCTGCCAGTTACAGGTATATCTTCATCCCTCGTGCTAAAAATCCAGTTAAAGTTCAAATTCTAGCTAATCTCTTTTACTAAAAATGTATTTATATATTACTAATGTATGAAGAATCATAAACATAACTCAATATTTATTGAACAATTTTTCTGCAGTTATACTTACATGTCTTATTGAACATTGAATCTATTTACTACAGTGGTTATAGGTTATTCATAGATTTTCTTCAGTTGTTATAGATATGCGCCTAAGCCTAATTATTCATACTTTATTTATTAATTTTTTTTTTGGATATAGATCATCAGTAATGATAAGATCAGAGGTCCTGAACATCGAGTGTTGACAAATTCAAACAAGGATCGGATCAGCATTGGCTGTTTTGTTATCCCTACATATGAATGCTTTATAGAGCCTGCAAAAGCTCTGGTTAGTACATGCAATCCACCACTTTATAGAGCCTTGCAGTACAAAGATTTTCTTAGCACCTATGATGAGAAAATAGGTAATTTTAGAGCTGTGATGGAGTGTTCTAAGCTTCAAGTTCAGTAGTCGTGTTTGAAATGGAAGTGGACGATCTCTTGTATATCATATATGTTATTGCAAGTAAATAAAAATGTGGTTTTAACTCGCACCTTTTGTCCAATTTTTCGATTCTTTTAATTTTACAAATTAAAACTAAATTAATCAAAGAAAGCAGTAAATAAAGGGCGATAAAGTAAGAGACTAACATTAGGATTTTAGCATGGAATCCTGAAGGAAAAAACCATGGAGATTCAACCATCTCGAGCAAAACAATCCACTATCTTGAAGTGTTAGACTCACATCCACTCAACTTTGCTAAGAACAAGTTGTTGAATGCCTTTGGCTTACTTTTAGGACGACTCATCCAATTGTTGCAAAATTCAGGCTTAGTCTTCTATCCTGGCAGAAGGGTTGTAGGAAAAACTCAGATTGCTCCGCAAACAACCTGTCCATTTCATAGTATGATTGATCTGTCTTCCTTACATTCACGAAGTTGAAAGGAGAAAAATAAAACTTACTTTCTAAATGAGACCAACGGAATCTTCAATAAGTTTTGACCTCCTATAAGACTGAGAACACCATCCTAATTCACTTACTAGCAATAGTATGTGCTCTCAAAGAAAGAAAAGCACGGAAAGATCTATGAAAATTAATCTCTATGCCCGTGTGTATTCATGACACTATGAGAGTATTTATATATGTATAAGAGTCCTTAAGTAGGTTGAAAAATAGGTTAAAAACAAATATGGATGTCTCCCACAAGTTTGGTTCAAAAAGGAAAATTAAAATAACTAAAACGGCAATGCTCTTCTGGATCTGGACAAGTACAACCGCTCGCAAAATGTGTGACCGGACGGACTTTACAAAAGTTCCAACCGACACAATTGGATCGGTCGCCAAGACAGTGGAACTTTTCAGATTTGAAATTTTTGCTAAAAACCTAGTATTTTAGTCCGCACCAAAACCAAATTCATGTGCATGGTGTCCTCACTCAACATACCTGTACTATATGGTGTTATCATCAAATCAATGTATTCACGTAGAGATCGGGATTTTTTTTTTTTTTTTTTCTTATCTAAGAGCATCTCTAATGGGGCAGTCATATGGGCTGCCAATTCAAAATATAGCAGGTGGGTTAAAAATTAAGCTCTCCAAGTACTTCTATATGGACTGTCAAAATTTGCCTTTGCCATTTTTTGTGGCAAATCTAACAAAACAAATAGCAATAGATATTTGCCATTTGTTGCCCTGCCGTTTCTCTCTCGCCCTCGAACGCAGCAGATCTTTCACCGGTAGTCGGGTGAGAATGTCTTCGAACAGATTCTCCAGAAGCTCCAACATCGGAAACACCACCAATTGCCTCTCTCTTCCCCTTTCCCATCGCTACTATTAAACAACACTAACACTCATAATCCAACTATCACGACCGGAAAATTATAATAAAATCCTCGATTTATTCAAATCCAAATACATCAAAATACACCCAGAATCATTAAAAAAAAAAAAACCCCCTCTTTTATACAAAATCAATTTCCTCAATATATAAAAATTATCCAAGTAAGTAAATGTGATGTTTCCAATTTTCGGCATTTTTATTTTTCTCGGGCCGGACGGTTCCGTGTGGGGCCCGCTACCGGAATTGTTGCATACGGGGATTTTAGTTGGGTCCATTTGCATCATTTTTATTTTATCGAAAGATCGATTACAATTATAAATCAACCCTTTTGCAATAGCATAAATCATTGTAAAATAGGGCTATTGGTCGGGTAAGTCGAACCACTGGGACTGCTAGTTAGGTGTCTAGAATGATAAAGGGGTAATGAGGATTTGTTAGTTTGTCACTTAAGCTAGGAGTTTAGAAAGAAAAGATCTAGATAGAGAGGTCTAGGGAAGTGAATCCACTCCTACCCTTTACACATGCTAAGTATATGATTGAATTGGGGAATTAATGTATATATGTGACCATGATACATAGCAACACATGATTACTACAATATCTTAAGAAATTCAATTAATCATAAGGTAAGAATAACCTATCAAAGCTTCACATGCTTGAGTTACCTAAACTATGATGTAACCTTAGACATGCTCACTAAACTAGAGATTATCAAACCATCAATTAAATGGTAAAAGCACATGGAATCAAGATACAAGATTAACCCATCAAAAGAAAGTCTTAAGCTATGGATTAACAAATTTCTCAACAACCATGCCATTAAAACCATTCCATAATCTTGTTTCCATTGTCACTATGAAAATACTAGCCATACAACCATGAGAATAAATAATCTATGACAAGAACATTTGATTCAACATGATCATTTAAATAAAAACATTCATTACAACTTGTAATGTGCTCTAGGTTATGGAACTTGGCCATACATACATTTCATTCCCCAAAATAAATAAAAAATTAAACATGCTTATAAGGAAGGGTTTCATCACCTCCCTAGATGGAGGTTTAGTTACCCATTAATGCTAGGAAGGAAGAGAATGAAGAAGAAAAGACTCAATTGCTGCACCTTAACTCCAAAAACCTCTCCACCTTCTCTCTAGCTTTTCAAAAATGTCACCCCTTTAAAATGAGATGACTTTCCCCTCTATATCCATTCAAAACCTACTCCCCATACTTACAATCCCGAGCTCCCCCCTCTGCATGAAGCTAGACCACACAAAAGAAGGATAAGGGAAACAAAAAGCTGGAAATCAGGGGCAGTTGAACTGCCTTCTGCAGTTCAGCGGGCGCCCGCGAGGTACTGGCAGGTGCCCGCGGGGCCTGCAATTTCGAAGAGGGCACTGGCGTGTTTGGCGGGCCCCCGCGATGGCACGGCGGGCACCCGCGGGAGCTCGAGGGGCCTCTACAGGGTCTCGCCAAAATAGGTAGATAGTTGAGGGGATTGGCGGGCCCTCGTGGTGGCGAGGCGGGTGCCTGTGGGAGCATGCCATTGCACTATAAATCAAGGCTTCTCGTAAGCCTTTCCGAGCTGGAGCGTTGATACGGCTTCCACTATGAACACTAAGCCACGAACTTCACAAAAACGGCGAATGAAGAGGTTAGGTCCCGAAGATGACTCCTCGACACGGCGCACGTATTTCAACAAAAAGTTGTCAAAACTGCTTCTTTAATTACATTCGGGGAAGCTGACCTGAAACAAGCCAAAAGTACACAAATGAAGCTAAACTGCACATTAAACTCCACTAATGGACTTAACTAATGCAAGTAAGGGTGCTTGAATATGCAATATTCGGCGCTTATCACACCCCCAAACTTACATTTTGCTAGTCCCTTAGCAAAACAGAATAAAGAACTCAATAAAAATGACACCAATGAAATGCTGACAACATCCATCAATCATGAAACAAGAAATTTATCTATGAAGCTCAAATGTAACTTAGAACGGCAGAAAATTGGAGGAAGTTCTATTAAACAGACTACCTTGCATATATGAAGCCTTGATAATCAAAATGGCAAGGCAAGATCAACTTTAATACATCAATCATCAAGTTCTATATAAAAACTTCAATTGTCATCTCTTGAATAACATGAACTCTAACTTCAGTGAAAGTGAGCCGAATTCCCAATATACGGTTTTTACCCTCTTTTTCCAATCCCAAGAACACATTTTCACATCATTAAATCTCCTTCTAGATGAGGTCCCAAAGGCATAACTTTATTCATAATACAACTTTTGTTACTTACTGAAAATTTTATTCTAATTCAAACTAAAACATACTGTGGTTGTGCAATGTCAAAAATCCCTTAAGCTTTCTAACCAACCCATGTAGCAAGTGTTGGGCCAACAACTCCCAAGCCAGATGACTTTAGGGTGCTAAATGTAGAAACATTCCTAGGGCTTAATAACTCAAGTTGGAAAGGCTACAAACTTCGACAAACCAGATTTATTTATTTTTAAATAACCGTGCAATGTCTAAGTTCTTTAAGCTTTCTAACCAACCCATGTAACAAGTGTTAGGCGAACAACTCCCAAACCAGATGGCTTTAGGGTGTTAAGTGTATAAACACTCTTAGGCTTAATAACTTGGGTTGGAAAGGCTACGAACTTCGAATGGTCATTGATTGATTGATTTTATTTTATTTTATTTTAATTTATTTTAATTTTTATTTTTTTTACATATGCCAAGGGTATCCATTCATTAGGGTCATCAATTCAGATCACTGAGTCCCAATCAAGGTCAATTTGGGTTGCATGCCTCACAATTAGGTTTCCGGTGTGCAAATGTGCAATGCGAAGCATAACAGAGTATGAAATCCGACGAAAATTTAATTAAAGTCTTTATACAAACCGATTATGAATCAACATGCTTATTTCAAAAGTTTCTTTATTTTCAAAAATTATCTTGGCTTCTATACACAAAGTATTAGGCACATGCTTCAACCTTCAAAAACTTCCATGATTATACTATCATTGCTTTAAGCAACATGATTTTATTAACTTACGAGCATAAAAATTGAGCAAAAATCATCAAAACTAAAATAACATGCACATGCACCAAAAATGTAATAGCATGCACATGCTCCCCCAAACTTGAATGTCACATTGTCCTCAATGTGAGAAGACAAGGGACAAGTAAAGAGAATGAACAAAGGGGAAAAGAAACAATAGTACCAAGTTGAGAGGATTGGAGTGGCGGTGCAAAAATAGGCCACCTCGTAAATTCCATGAGCATGCCCCCAAACTTGGTTTCAAAAACCTGTCAAAAGACATCTATACATAGCAAGTATCATATGAATCCAAATTCAATGAAAATAACTGCAATTTATTCGACTAAAAACTATAATCCATGCAAAGTAGCAAAAGTGATGCCGTTATAAGTTCAAAAGAAAAACTGAAAAGCAAATGCCAAACGCGGCCCAAAATAAGTCGAAAAAGTACTACTGAAAAGGGAAATAAAAACTGGAAGCATAAAATCACTCCATCATTGGAGTAGAGGAGGAAGCACCAGGTGCGCCAGGTGCATGGTCAATCAATGACTGGAGTATAGCCTGTAAAATCTCTTGATTCTCCTAAGTCTTCTAGACAGTGCCCTTTATGGCGTCAAAGCACAAGGTAAATGCATCGAGACGAGCATTTAAGGCAAGATAGTCAG